AAGGTAGTCTGACAGGATGCTGGAACTGTGTAAGTTAAGTTCCCAATTTGGCTGCCCCAAGCTTCAGCTTTCTCCTTCTTGCAGCATGAGATCCCTGGGGAAATCCTAATGTGTTGGGGTCCCTTGTTTAATATTCTGATAGGCAAGGGAGGGGCACAAGTGCCTCCTTGTATAAGTATGTATGTATGTATGCCTATGTGAATTTATGTGCTCCTAGTGTGTGGTGTCTGTGGATCCAGAAGAGGGCATCAGATCCTGGAATTGGAGTTACAGGCAGTTGTGAGCTCCCCTGTGGATACTGGGAACTGAACACTGGTCCTCTGAAGGATCAGAGTACTCTTAACCTGAGTTATCTCTCCAGCCCCTCAAGTTAGACTGTTTTCATTCCTGCCAAGAAGGTTACAGTGAATGAATCCATGGGGAAACCCATGGCGGTCTGCAAATAGTTGCTTCCACCATGTGAGCCTGCCCATTTGAACTTTGGGGATGAAGAAGCTGCGAATGGAGTCCTTAATGTTAGGCTTAGGCCGGCTTCCTGCCAAGATCCTTTGGTGCTGAATTTGATCTTCACTGGCCCTGTCTGAACATGTGGGAAATAAGAGTTCATTTCTGTCTTCTCCACATCTGGAAGATTAAAGAGATGCTATTGGGGCTAGAGAGATGGCTCAGAGGGTTAAGAGCACTGGCTGCTCTTCTAGAGGTCCTGAGTTCAGTTCCCAGCAACCACATGGTGGCTCACAACCATCTGTAATGTGACCTGATACCCTCTTCTGGCAAGCAGGTGCGCATGAAGATAGAACAATCATATACATAAAAATAAATAAATATTTTTAAAAGAGAGAGAGATGTTATTGGGAAGTGAGAAAAGAGAGTGGGCTTGCAGATGGTCCTGGGAACAAGAGGCATAGGGTGCTGTCTGTCCCTTCGCTGTGGGCTGTGATCCTCTGCTTCACAGAGATCCGGGACCTTGGGCATGTACATGCCATGGCACAAGTGTGCGGAGGTCAAGAGACAACTTTTGGGAATCTCTTCTTTCCACTGTGTGGGTCAGGATACTAAGTTAAAGCCATTGGGCCTAGTGGCCAGGCCAGTGCTTTTGGGAAGAACCAGCCCACTTCCATCTTGGGCTTGAAAGCCATCTTATAGTAAAGATAAACCAGGCTCATTCCTGTTTATGATTAAACCTCTGTTTCTCAAGAATTGGGCTATGTCTCACCAGTAACCTTAATTACAAATGGTTCTTTTTGTACTGGCTGTTCCAGGAAAAGACAACTCTGTCTTTGTTTCAAAAGCTTGTTGTGACCACCTTGCAACCATGTCTTTGTTTCAGGAGGGTGTTATGACCAACTTGTTACCCTTAGTTCTGCTTCTGTAACCCCACCTGTTTGCCTGCCAAATCCCCCCATTTGGAAACCCCCTACCCCTGAGCTATAAAAAAAACCTTACCTTCAGGAGAAACAGGAAGAGGAAGGAAAAAGAGGGCAACCATGGAAGCACATGGCTAGATCAGGCATGGATGGAGGAAGCAGCCCAGATGAGAAAATCAGCAAGTATTTAAGGAATAATGGATGGGAGGTAGCCCAGTAGAAATTATTACAGCAGATGGTGTGGGATGGGGCTGGCAGGTAAAGGTAGCGTAGGTGGTACTATATGCTGTGCCTCAGGCTATTCTCAAATCTTAAAACACAAAAACAAAACCTTCCAGCCGGGTGTAGTGGCAAACGCCTTTAACCTTTAACCCAGTACTTGGAAGGCAAAGGCAGGAAGTTCTCTGTGTGTATGAGGCCAGCCTGGTCTACATAGTGAGTTCCAGGGCAGCCAGAGCTACATAGTGAGACCCTGTCTTGAAAAACAAAACAAAACCAAAAACAACACCCCAAAATACAAAGCAACCGCAACAGCAACAAAAACCACCTCAATCTTCCCCAAGTCCAATGCTGATCTCTTAAACCTTGCCTGTAAAGGGAGAGATAGCCCACGTACACAAATAAAAAGTTTGGTTTATCTCATTGCTTGCTTTAATTCATTTGGCCATTATTTGGGTCGGTGGTCTTTCTCCTCGAATCCGTGGAATTAATATTTAACCACTGAGACATCTTGCTGGCTCACTTGTTCTGTTTCCACAAGGGGAGGTGGGGGACTTGATTGAGCCTCAGGACTGTTCTGCCCACGGCGTGCGAAGGCTGAATAGCTCAGGTCTCTCCGTTCCCCAACCCCTTCTACCCTTTCTGAGTAGCTCAGAACTTTACATGCTAATTCAACAGCCACAGTGCTCGGTCAAAGAGCTCTCTACGTTAGTTTTTGTGTTCCCTTTGACCTGTGATTGTGTTTATCGTTCGGGTAATTAGCCAAACAGTTAGTAGGGACAAGTCCCGCAGGACGTCCTAAGATCTCGAGAAGGGACGTCACTTTCAGAAAGTCAGATCGCGTCTACAGGATTCCACTTTTGATTTCCACATTTGCACTGGAGGTCGAGTTGTTGTGGGAGGCTGAGTGATCTGGAGTTTCTGCCCTTTTTGCAGAATCGGGGGAGCAGTAAGGGAGGGAGGGGCTGAGAATTAACCAAGAGTCCTTCAACTGTCAAGGTCCACGTTCAGGGAGGAGTGAGGCTTCCGCGACCTGAGGGAACCTGAGAAGCCGCGCCCGGCAGGGCGGCTCTCAGCTCCGCGCCGGGTGCGCCCCTTGCCCCTGAAGCCTGCACCGCCTACGGCCGCTGCGGTTGGCTACCGGACGTGTGCATCTTTAACGTTGAAGCCAATCAGCGTCGCCCTCTGGGCTACACCCTCCGTTCCTCAAGCCTGGGGGCCGGCGTGCCAGTTTATTCGGAGTCCGGACTTTCCTCTTCAGAGATTGGCTGAGAGCGTTGCCCATTTGATGCCAGGCTTCAATCCTCGCCCTCCTCCCGGCCCCGCCTCTTCCCTTCAGTTATTGGTCAAAAGCGTTGCCCGTTTTCTGCACACTCCAATCTTCGCTTCTGTCTCCCGGGGCAGCGAACTCTCAAGAGCCGCCTCTCCACGTGGCTCCGCCTATGCCCCTTGGCAATTGGTCGAGAGCTCTGCCCGTTTCTTGCGGGTTCCAATTCTCGCACACCTCCCCGCCGGGCCTCCTCGGTGTGGAACGCTCCGGAGAAACAGAGCCGCTCCTCCGTGTAGCCCCGCCCCTTCCATCGGTGATTGGTCAGAAACAATGTCCGTCATTGTCATGCCTACCAATCTCGCCGCCTCCGTCACGGATTGGTCACGGCGCGGCCAATGGCGGGGCGGCCTGGGCCCCGCCCGGGCCTGCAGCTTCGGGCAGCGCGAGGCGGGGCTGCGGCGGCTGAGGCAGCTGTGGCAGTGGCGGCAGCGGCGGCGGCGGCGGCGCGTCCGGGCAGGTGAGCGCGACCCGAGGAGCGCAGGCGCCCGGGCGCGACGCGGGGTGGCGGGGTTCTCACGGCCCGCTCCGGGAGGAGGCGCGGCACGGGCCCGTTTCGTTGTGACAGCAGTGTCGCGTGCGCGGAGAGGTGACAGAGCTCCTCACACGCTCGGCGTCCTCGGGGTCCCCGGGCCAGGCCGAACCCTGAGCTCACACCGCGCCGCCCTGCGGTGACAAGCCCCGGGAGTCCGAGGCGGCTGCTCCCACGCTCCTCCCCCGAGCCGCGGCGGCCCATCCTGTCGCGGGTTCCTCAGCCCCGCGCGTGTCCCCCGTCGGACCCGGGTAGAAGCGTCGGGCGCAGGCTCCGGTGCCACCGGCTGCACACGTGCACCTGCGGGCCTCGCCCGGCCGTCACGCAGCCAGCGCTCCGCCGCCAAAGCCCATCCCACTTTCCCCTTGCGGCTTAGAAATGGTTTTTCTTGTCTCCCCTGTGTAGTTGTGTGGGGTTGTTTTGGTTTTGATGGCAGGCTTTCACTGTGTGGAGCCGGCTGGCCTGCACGTCTCCCTGGCCAGGGCTGGGGTTAAAGGTGCACGCTGCCACGCCTGGCTCCCTTAGTGTTTCAGCAGTGCTTTCAGTCTCTTTCTACTTTTTCGTTTGATTGTATTTGTTTGTTGGTCAAGTCTTATAAAGAGTGCTTGAGGGCCGGTGAGGTGGCTCAGCAAACTGTTTTTGGGAACTGACTTTCAGAAGTTGTCCTCTGACCTGTACATGGGCTCTGTACACACACACACGCACACGCATGCACGCACGCACGGACTTAATGCAATACATTTTTTAAAAAGACTGACAGCATGGTGGTTTGCATCTGTCATCCCAGCCCTAGACAGGTAGGAGGATCAGGAGTTCAAGGTTACCTTGACACTTTACAAATAGTGAATTTGAACCAGTTTGTGCTCTTTGAGAGTTTGTTTCAACAACAAAAATGAAATGAGCATGGTCTGGAGCTCAGTTGGCGGAGAGTTTGTTTGAAGCTCGGGGTTCCATCTCTAACACCACAAAAACCAGGTATGGGGGTACACACTTGTCATCTCAGCACTTGGCAGTGAAAGCAGGAGATCTGGAGCTCATGTCTAGCCTTAGCTCTATCCTGTCTCAAAAGACCAACAACAACCACAAAAAAACCCAAGGCTTGACAGCTTTCAAGTAATTTCTGGATTTGAATAATCCCATCAGCCTGATGCTCAGAGTGATCCCTGTTTTACCAGCCACAAGTCTGAAGCCCTTGGATGATGCTGCAGGCTCTGCCTGTCCCTTTGAGCCCTGTCTGCGAGCCCCTTTCAGTGACTGGTTGCTCGTGTTTATCTCTGGAGCTGGTGGAGGAGGGGAACCCCACCACACTCCACCCCATTTCCAAGGCATTTCTCCCAAGTCGTGACTGATTGGATCCGGAAACGCTTAGCTGGAAGGGACTGCCCCTAGGTAGCTGCCGGAGAGGAGTATCTCCAGGCCCTGGCGGGGGTGGAGGCCGGCGGGGGTGGGGGATGGGGGAGTGTTGAACATCTGGGGCGCTGTTTGTTGCCGTCAGACCCGGCCCTCTCCATGACCTGCCCAAGCTCCTTGCCGCTGTTCAACAGTACGGAAATACTTCTCAGACTTGGGGAAGGCTAATGTTTCAACTGCTTAAAGCTTCAATGCAAAAAGGTAGGGGCCTGGGTCGGGGAAGAAAGATTTTTCTGGAAATGTTTTAGTTCCCCTGAGTCACATTCACACGTGTGCAGCATAGAGGGATGATGGTGCTTTGTTGTGGAAAATCAATAAAGGTCTTATTTCCTGTGAGGCTGTCACCCTCAGTGGTCTCTCCCTTCATTGAGGCCAGTGCCAGAATGTTCCTCCTGGTCATGTCACCTTCAGCTTTTCCTGTGAAACTGTAGTCTTTGGGACTTTCCATTCGATTTCAAGCAAGGTCATGGGGTACAGCTCAGTAGAATGCTTCCTTAATATTTTCAAGGCCTTGGGTTTCACCCCAGCCTTAAATATATATATTAATATGTATTATTAATATATATTATTATATATTAATATGTGCATGGTGTATATACTTATATATATGGTTGTGTCTGTATGAGTTGTGTGCATAGTTCTTTTGTGTATGAGTGTGGTATATGTGAGATATTTGTACAAAAACAGAGGTCAGGGGATGATGTCTAGTGTTGCTCCAACAACCATGCCTGGCTTTTTACATGGGTGCTAGGGATTTGAATTTGATTCTTTACACTTGCCTGCAGCAAGAGTTCCTACCTGAGAAACCATCTGCTCAGCCCCTCTGTACACATTCTTTTATATACATATATATAGCATTTGTACATACAACTAAATTTTGATTTTATAAGTGATATGTGTAGTTTAAAAAAATCAGTATATGCTAGCTTTTGGAAGGCAGAGGCAGATGGATCTTTGTGAGTTTGGGCCAGCCTGGTCTCAATAGTGAGTTTTAGTAACAGCCAAGGCTGTTACTAAAATGGTTCACATAGTGAAACCATTTTCAAAAAATCAGTATTGTCAGGCATGCTGTGCACGCCTGTATCCTAGTACCAGAGAGACTGAGGCTAGAAGGTCTTGAGCTCAAGGTCAGCCTGTGATACAAAGCAAGAGTCTATTAAAACAAAACAACAATAAGTTAATCATAACCACCTGAGTATAGTGGTGAGAGCCTGTAATTCCAGTATGAGGGAAGTTGAGAAAATATTGAGGCCAGCTTGGACTACATAGTAAGACCTTGTTTAAAAAAAAACAAAACAACCAAAAAACCTCAGAAGTACCTGTTTGGTGCTTATAACTACCATCAGCATTTATGAGGTAGAGACGGGAATATTAGGAGTTCAAGGTCATCTTTAGCTACATAACAAGTTCAAGGTCTGTTTGGATTACTTGAGACCCTGTGTCAAGAAAAAACAAAACAAAACAAAAAAAAACAGATATCAAAAAAGCAAGATGATAGCTGACTGTGGGATCTGCCCAGGCTCCTGTTGCACAGGGCCCAGATGAGTCGCAGGTGCCTCACTGGTGGCTCTTTAAGCTGTTACCTCTGAGGGTCCAGTGGGAATGAGCATGGGTGGGTCAGGTCCCAGCTGTGCAGCCCCGCAGAGTAGCCCCTTTCTTCATGTTTAGGTGCAGTTGCCAGGGCCAGGCCAAGGGGCCTAACTGGCCATTGTTCTGTCAGGGAGAAAGTGGAAGGCCTGCTTCCTCCAGTAGCCATCTGGGACAGGATCAAGGGCTCAGGCCTGGCCCTGTGCAGGTTAGCAGCAGTACTGGAGAACCTTTGATCTGTCCCCTTCAATGCCCTGGCTCAGGAAGCAGGCCTCATAATACAATGTCAGTGCTCTCTCAGTCCCTCTCTGCAAAGTGCCAAGAGAAATCTTGGAGAGGAGACAAAGTGTGACCTGTCGTCCTGGAGTGGGGGTGCTGAGATTGATTTCCCTCTTAACACAGAAGATGGGACCTCAATTCTAAACAGCACACCAACATGGGTCTTGATATTTTAGGATAAGGTACCCAAGAAAAACAATAGCAAGGCTGGGAAGATAGCTGACGGAAGTGCTTATTGTGCAAGCATGAAGATCTGAGTTCAACCCATAGAGCCTATGGAAGAGAAGAGTCTGGAACCCCAGGTTGGGGAGGTGGAGACCAGTGAATCCCTGGGGCTTGCTGGCCTGACAGCCTAGGTTGACATGTCAAACTCGAAACCAGTGAGGTTCAAGAAATAATACTAGATGAGTGTTTTTTTTCAATCTTCCCAATGCTGTGACCCTTTAATACAGTTCCTCATGTTATAGTGACCCTCAACCATAAATTGTTCCATTGCTTCTTCATAACTGTGATTTTGCTACTGTTGTGAATTATAGTGTAAATATCTGACATTCAGGATATCTGATATGGGACCCCCAAAGGGGTAGTCCCAAAGGGGGTCCACGATCCCCTTTGGCTGAGAACTGCTGGATAGCTGAGCTGTTAAGAGTACCCAGGTTCAATTTTCAACATCTGAATGGTAGCTTACAACCATCTGTAATTCCAGTTCTATGGAGATCTAAAGCTGCTTTCTGGCCTCATTAGGTACTACCTACAAGTGATACATAAACATACATGCATGCAATGCAAACCCATATGCAACAAAATAATTTTTAAAACTAAAACTAACTAGCAAGATGTCTTAGCAGGTAGGGATGCTGGCTGCCAAGCCTGAAGACCTGAGTTCAGTCCTGCAGGCATCCTGCAAGTTGTCCTCTGATCCTACACACACTGTGGCATGCACACACACAGTAAATAAATGAGGTGGAGACCGAGGGAGGCACCTGATAAGGACACACATATGTAAAATGAATGCGTGTATGCACACAGGCACACATGTATCTGTACATACCCCACACAAACATGTATGCATACTTGTGCACATACCCATGCACACATAAGAAGAACTATTCACCTGTTTGTTGTTTTGGTGCTGGAAAGAAGGTCAGGGATTGATAACAACTAGGCAAGTGTTTTACCAGGAAGCTATGCTCCCAGATTCATTTGTTGTTTATTTGTGAGACAGGATACATATCCCTGGCTGCCTTGAAACTCACTCTATAGAAGTGACCAGGCTGGTCTAGAATTCAGAGATACAGCTGCCACTGCCTCCTGAGTGCTGAGATTAAAGGCGTGCGCCACCACTGCCTAGCTATTTAATATTTATTTCTTTGAAAGCTAGTGAAGTGACTTAGTGGGTGAAGGCGTCTGCAGCCATCCTGATGACCTAAGTTCCATCCTCTGGATCCATATGGTGTCTTAAATTGTCCTCTGACCTCCACATGCTCCCTCCCTAAATAAATGGCATTAAAAAAAAAAATGCATTTGCAGAGGTTGGAACGCTGGCCTAGGATTAAGAGACCTGGCAGCTCTAGCAGAGGACCCGAGCTTGCTTCCAGCACCTTCAAGGAAGATCACATCTGCCTGTGACTCCTTTCCAGATTGTGTGCTGTCCTCTGGCCTCCATAGGCACCTGTTCACATGCTCCTACATAAATTAAAAAATAAAGATGAAAATAAATAATAAAAAGGGAGATTATTTTAAAAATGTATCTCTGGCCAGATGTGGTACGTAGTGCATGCCTGTTTTCCCAGAACTTGGTAGAGGCAGGAGGAATTAGACATTCAGAGCAGTTTCAGTTGCAAGGTAGTCTGAGGCCAGCCTGAGCCGTATGAGACCCTGTCTCGGGCTGGCTCAAAAAATAAAAGGGCTTGGTGTGGTTGTGCATGACTTTATCCCCAGCTCCTAGGAAGCAGGGAGTCAGATGTCTATGAGGTCAGCCTGGTCTGTATAGAGAGTTCCAGGCCAGCCATGGCGATGTAGTGAGGCTCTGTCTAAAAATTAAGTAGATATAAGCTAGAGCTACATTTTTGGAAGACCAGGGTTAGCCCGTCAGCACTCACGCTTGGCTGCCTCCAGTCCCCGGTGAAAGCCAGCACCCTCTTCTGCCTCCTGCCTACACGTGTGTGCACAGACGTACCTTCAGGCCAGCACTCATATGCATAAAATAAAAAGAAAGACATCGTCTTCAAAGTTAATAAATGAATGTATTAATTTTAAAAGTTCATTTTGTACTCAGGCATGGTGGCCCAAACCTGTAATCCCAGCACTCAAGGGACTGAAGCAGGAAGATGACTGGATTCAACACCAGTCTGGGCCATAAATTGGACTTGGTGGGGTTTTGTTTTTTGTTTTTCTTTTTGCTTTTGTTTTTTTTTTCTTTATTATTATTGGGGGGGGGGTGGACAGGTCACAAGGGTGCAAGGGTGGGAGGGTAGACCTGGGAGGAATGGGAAGCGAGTGTGATTAGGGTACATTGTATGAAATTCCCAAATAATTAGCAAAAATATTATGTTGGGGAAAGGAAAAAATAATCATTTCGCTTTTGGCTTGGGGCATGGCACAGATGTAGGGTACCTGCCCAACCCTGTGAAGCCATGGTTCCATTCTTATCGTCACACAAAAACATGCATTTTATTTACTCATTTTTTTTTTATCATTTCTGCATGTGAGTGCACGTGCATAGGTCATGGTGTGTGTCTGGAAGTTGGAGGACACCTTGGGCGTCCTCCTCAGCTTCCACCTCAGCTTGAAACTGAGCCCCTTGCTCTCAGCGCCGTAGGATAGGCTACCTGGCCCTTGATTTCCAGGACTCTCATGTCTGCACTTCCCATCTCACCACTGGGATTACAGATGCACACCTACCACTCCTCCTGGCTTCACGGGGCTCCTCAGTGTTGAAGCTCAGGTTCTCAGGCTTGTGTGGCACATGTCCTCCACCGAGCCATCTCCCCAGCACCAGAAATGCATTTGTGTCTGTTGAGAGGTGGTGGTGGTGTATGCACGCACCTGTGCATGGTATGTGGAGCATTATGCTAGATGTCTTCTCCCATCATGTTACACCCTATTCCCTTGAGACAGGGTCTCTCACTGAACCTGACATTTTGAATTTTGACTAGGTTTGCTAGGAGCCAACATTGGAATTATGTACATACAGTGTCATGCCTGAATGTTCTTGTGGGTGCTTAGGATTTGAACTCAAATCCTCTTTGAAAAGTTTCAGATTACATGCATTTATTTATCTGTGGGAGGATGGGGTACATGTGACTTGGAGCAGGTATTGATGGAGATCAGAA